AAATTTATTATTTCTATACATGTTTTGGCTCTCAGACTTCCATAACGTCCCTTTAAGGATAAAAAGATTGTAACAATGCCACCCTGGGTTACAACAACCTTCTTATTACCGACTGACACACACTTCTTCAGGAGCCACAGCCAACCCACAATAATCTGTCTAACGTGAATTCCATTTAACCAGTTAAATGAAAATTTTAGAGGTAAAAAAATTAAAAGAACGACTATATGCTCCAACGGCTTGCCTTACAACCCTTCTCTTCCTCAAAATATTTGTCTCTGCCTTTGCAAGAGCCCTATTCGACAAATGTCAGCAGCGGCGCGCTCTGATTGGTTGTTAGGAACGTCGCTCAGCTGTGGCTCTCGGGCTTCCTGGGTTGCGAGTATAGCGGCCGATGAGCTCCGTAGCCGCTTCGCAAATCTCTTGAGCGGGAATTTTTCGGCCTCAAAGCAGCAAATCCTGTAAGTGAGATTGCCTGTTGAGACTTTTAGAAATGCCAGAGTCGGTCTGAGTATTTATGTTGGTCGGGCGGTGCGCCATAGGAACGGAGCAACATCTCCGAGTAGCTATCTCCTCCTCCTGGGTCCTGTACTCCTCTAGCGATGGTTTTTAAATATTACCGGAGTTTTAACTCGTTTTTTTAATCATTTTGAGCTTATTAACGAACTGGTCACATTTTCTATTAAAAGCTACACATTTTAACCCACAGCACGTCAGTTTGAGGTGACTTCCTGCTCTTTGTGTTGATTTACAACAGTGCAATAAAACACCGAATATCACCGATAGCTGCCAAAAGCCATCACAAGTAATATTCACACATGCAGGCTCCTGGTGGAGCTTTTTAATCAAAATTTGTACAAAAATGGTGAAAATGTCAACGGAGTTCGCCACGTGGTTGTTGAGTATGAGGTAAGAAGCCCTTTCCTGCTGTCTGACTCACATAGGCTGATGATGAAAGAGGAGGAAAATGTTTCCAATTGGTAACAATGGAGAAAGATGCTTCATGACAACATCGTGATGTTTTGTTGTTTAGTATTTACAATTGTCACAGCAGGGAAGAGAGTCAGCTCCACCAAGCAGTCTGAGGTGGAATTCTCCCTCCTGGTTGGGAGTAAAGGAGTAATAATTCAGTGATGGAGCGAGAGATGGACCATCGGAGTGGGGTATCCTCTGCAGAACCTGTCCGTCTACATTCCAGCCCTCATCTGCGGTCATGAGATTACGACGGACACAACCAGATGAAATGACCTCCTTCTGTTGGGTGGCCAGATGAAATTTTAGCTACAAAACCAGGAGCTCCATCAGTTTGGAATAGACTCGCTGCTCCTTCTTGTCAAAAGTAGTGTTGAGGTGGTTTGGGCATCTACCTCTGGAGATATTCTGGGCTCTGGAAGGAGATCCAGAACTTCCTGGTGGCATTTTCTCTAGCCTGTGTCGTGATAGCATAAATAAACCACTGATGAAAAAAAAACATTGTTAGTTATAAATTTGTGTGCTGTAGGACGGTTGCAGTTTAAGTGATGTTGTGTGCATTAAGGTTACAGGATAGTCATTAGTGATGTAAGAAAATATCGATATGGAAATATTTAATCTTCTTTCCTGCTGTCAGGGACTTGCACAAACCAGCCAGAGAAGCACTGCTCATGAGACTCAAAACTCCATTTTATTTTGGAGCAGCTTCAAAGTTAACAGGAACTTTAACCTAATCACAGCACAAGACACTCTATCCAGAAAAACAAAAAACATTTCAGACACACCAGGTTCAACTTAAATAGTGGCTGATCAGACCACTCTACATACAAGAGGGGAACAATTAACATACAATTAACACACATCCTCACACAGACACAAACTAACCAGTCTAATCAATTCAGGTAACTCAAATAACTAAATCATAATTACAAACTTCCTATCCATAACAGAAAACATCTACATTAAATTAAACACAAGCATAAACATGAATCTCCCCTCCCTTGGGAGTTGGTAGATCCCGGAAGTGCTGATTAGGCTTCCTGAGGAGATGAGCTGCAGGTGTGAGACTCCATGGGCAACTCCAAGTCACTGGTAGCTCAAATAGAAGTACAAAATGAACACATGCATTCATAAACAGAAGACTGATTGTGTGCACATCAACCAGTCATCCTGGACAGAACACAGAAAACAAACATTACCAGCAGATCATGTCCCTGAGGTGACAGACACCGCTGTCACCCCTGCGATATATCAATATTCAAAAGCTGTGTGCCGAATTTTTGGAAGAATTTACGTGCAAATAGTTTTTTCTTCTGGTGCTATTCAAACGCCGACCGCTAGGTGGCAGCAGTGTGCAGTGGTTTATTTTCCACCACTGAAATGTAAATCCCTCGATCATAGTTCAGATACCTCATGTTAAACATGTTAAGTATCAGTTTGGACTGTTTATTGAATTTTCCTACAATAAATTCAGTCTAAAGAAATAGCTAATGTAATCTGGCTGAATGTATAAAGTTTAGTGATGTCGTATTGTCTCCCCTGTGTCGTCGTACGTATCGTATCGACATAATTTCACCAATACGCATCCCTAATATTTATTATTCTCATTAAGTACTCAAACTGTGCGCTTATTAGTAGAAACATTGTGGCAACAAGTTGTGAAAATCTCCCGTGTCTTCGCCTCAGGGATCATGGCGTTCAGGAAGGCCCTGAGACGGACGGCGGTCGTAGGAGGCGGGGCGGTCGCTGCGGCTTTTGGCCTGTCACAGCTGATGGAATACAGGAAGACTCAGGTGAGTTTGGCTTCTGCAGGAGGGACAAGTCCTGTCTGGATTATGGAATGTGTTTTCTCCCTCTCAGCTCTGATTATACGTGGAGGTGTTTGCAGGTTGTTTTGCAGAAAGGCAGCAGTTTGCATTGGAGCTGCATCCTGAGCATCAGTTGTTTTTTGAGATTTTAATAGTTTCCCCCATTTAGTCCAAATTCCATCAACGTACCAATGTCTGATCTCTCTTCTGCGCAGGTGGGTTGATTTGTTTAGCCTTCCAAGTTAAAGGTCAAGAATTGGTTACCTGCCTTGGGTGGGGAAAAAGTAGCTTCAGGTGTATCTAGAGGCTTTTAGTAAGTGTTGCAGTGCTTAAAAAGTATTTGAGCTCCACTGGTAGCTTTTGATTTTGATTCCTTTGTCATTTAAATGTTTCAGATCAAAGACAATCTGAGTAAATACAAATGACAGTTTCCAAATTAGGATTTTTTTTTATTTGATAAGGAAATATATCCAAAGTCATCTGGTTCTGTGTGATTAAAGGTTGGTTTATGCTAGACGCACGGCTCCGCGCGGAAAAGTTGCGTCATTTTAACAACCACGCCCCTCTACCGCGCCTCCGCATGGCCCAAAATTTACGCAACGTGCACCTAGGAAATTTTCTAACCACGCGGACGGTCGGACGCGGAAAAACATTGCGGACCGGCAAGAACTAGTATGGCAGAGGTTCGTAAATACAGACATTTGTAAGATTCAGCTCTCAGAGATCACCGTGATCAACATGTTGTTAATCATTCTTGGAGAGAAATAGCTCGCACTGTCAGAAAAGACGAGGACGCTGTTAAAAATGCTGGAATGCCACGTTGTAAACAACAGTAATTTTTACTTCTACTATGGTGTAGTGTTGGATGCATGCCGTAGAGCTCCATGCTGCCCCCTACAGTTTGGGAGAATATTGGCTCACCGCAGAGACGAGCCGCATGAACCATAAACGCTGCGAGTTGTGAAGCGCGTTCCATCCGCGAGCCGCATCACCAAGCGGAAAGTGAATGCGTCAAGCATAAACCAAGCTTTACTGCTCTCTTGCTAGATGTGTGACCTACCAGAGCTTTAGAATAACAAGATGACTTAATTGTAAGGTTGGGTGGTAAGTCGAACCATTCCAACTGAGTTTCATTAGTCCAACAGGGTGTACACTCACACAGGGGATGCTTAGACACCACACGGGCCTGACACACACATTGCATGCACACATTCAGCGCCTTGGGCTTCCTGACAGGGTTGCGGAAGGTGCTTTATAAATAAAGCTTTGATTGATTTGATTGATTGATTGATTGCATGCAGCGATCCAGGGGTCCTCATTGTTTTTTAAAATACATTGTTCTCATGACTGTATATGTCAGGCGGGGTCTTTGACTCCTCCCCTTTCCTGGGACTTCTTTTGCTGCTTTACATCTTTGTCTCCCCTCCCCCTGCCACACTTGGTGGGGAGTGTGGTGCCTTGGTCTTCCTGAATGTTCACGACTCCCAGTTCAGGGGGTTTGATTTTTGGCGTCTGCCTGATTAATCCCGGTGGCTGCCTGGTGGGATCTGGGTCCCCGGCAGGGGTGGTCGCTGGGTTTCGGGCTCGGCCGGCTTGGGGGTGGGAGGCTGCGGGCGGGCCTGTGGGCTTGCCGCTGATATCTCCTGGGTCTCTGCCGGCTGCTGGTTGTGGCCCCCCGGGGTAATCCTCTGTGCCTCTCGAGGGGGGCAGGGGCTTTTCTGGTCGCAGTCTCCCTGGGGTCCCTGCGCTCTGGGGCAGCTCCTGGATCTCTGAGACTTGGAGCTCCTTCCATCTACTACGCATGGGGGGCAGATCTGTGGCCCCTCACACTCTCTATTGGACGCTCCTATAGAGAAACCTTACATATACAAGCGCGTGTACACACACAGGTGCTCACATGGTGCTCTTAGAAGTATGAACTTGGGCACATTCAACACATGTCTTAAGGCTGTGGTTGGCACCAAATGCACTGTGAGTTATCGTGTGATTGTTCAGTAAAACAATGTTTATTTTATATTTCCTCATCAGGTTGACGCAGTGATAGTTAGCTCCTGTTGAATTGTTGTGTTGTTTTTCTCTTTTTTTTTTCTTTCTCCTTTTGCAGGTCAAGAAGCAGACTTGTTAATCATTGATTGTTTATTTTTGTGGAATAATCTTAGCTTTGTAATGACTTGTAGGAGAGTTGCAAAAAGACACCGATGTGTGTAACATCCGATCTCTGAGACTCATAGGTGGAAAAAAAAAGTTGGCTCAAAGATCTCAAAAAGCAACACATCATGTCCTTTTCATAAACAAGAGAACCCAGAACAACATCTAAAGAACTACAGGCCTTATTGGGTTCAGGTCAGAGTAGGGCTGGGCAATAAATCCAAAATTTATCGTGATCAAAATTTCGGACTCTTACTGAGATAATTTTTCCCATGTCTATAAATGTGATAATATAAAAAGGAAAAGATGTGTGTAGGGTGGCCACGTTCGTGTCCCTTTAAGAAGCTGTACCACCTTGAGTCACGTAAAAAATGTGACTCAAAGTAATTCACGTGACAGCCCCATCCAGTGCACAACTTTTGTTTCTGCGCATGCCTGTAGTTATCGTTATCAAGGTGAAATCCTTAATTTATCGTGATATTGATTTTAAGCCTTATCGCTCAGCCCTAAGTCAGAGGTAGGGTTGCATTAACCGGTTTATCCCGGTTAACCCGCTGTAAAGACATCTCTGTGGGAATATATCCAAATATCTAAAATATTCCCACACAGTAGACTTCAACCGCTTTCTAGGTGAAAATGGAGCAGTCGCGATGCTGACTTTGCTTCTGCTGCGTGCACGCGTTCAATTTCACTTTTGTCTTTGTCCTTGCGGGTTTCACTATTTTCTTTTTGTTTTTTTATTGGCAGTGTTGGAGACGCCTTTATGGTGGGTTACCCAGGGTTAATAGTCAAAACGGTTAATCCCTGCAACCCTAGTCAGAGGTCAGGATAGAAGAACATCACACCAGTGTTCAGACATGGTGGTGGTAGTGTGATGGTCTGGGGCTACTCTGCTATGCTTCAGGACCATCTGCTGTAACTGATGGAACCATGAGTGCTGCTTTCCAGCAGAACTTCCTGAAGAAAAATGTCTGACCTTTGACCTTAAACAGGTCTTTCATGATGGAAAACCCTCAGATGTGGCTGAATTAAAACTATTCTGTCAATAGGAGTGACAAAACTCTCCACAATGATGTGAAAGACTCATTACCACCAGATACTTTTCCGCAGGTCTGCAAATGCTAACCTTAAGTTCTCCAGGTGTTTAAGCTGGAGACTAAAGATAAAGGAGTTCAGGTGTTTTGAGAAGAACAGACTCTGTTTAAATGGCACCAGTGCCTCACTTCCACACTTGAAGAACATGAGAACCCAAATAACCACCTGACATGACATGAAGCAGCTGTGTGTGTGTGCTCTGACCTGATGTCAGCTTATTTTAGACCAGAAGCAGGTTTTATGCTACCCATCAGACTAATGTGAACTTTGTTCTGTGTCCTGGTCCGATAATATCTCCTCCCGCCCGCCGTCGTCGTCCTCTCCACCAAGCCTGGATTGGTAAGCAACAATTCGACCCTGATGAAATCTAATTATTTCCACAATAGTTTGCAATCATGCATGTCTCTAATCCCAGTAATTGCACCGCTGATGAGATGACTGTCCGTCTTGTCTCCTTTAGCGAAGGCATGAGGCTCGTGGAAGTTTCCAACGCAGCGGCCGATTGGCTATTAACGCGGGCCGTGCTGTGCCGATCTCAGACTTAACTTGATTACTGGCGCTTCATCCTGTGGCGGTGTTTGTCTGCGAGCATCCACAAAAATAGACAATGATTATATCATCGCGGTGTTTGCGGGTGCAGACCTAAATTACAAAACGCCCGCCAATATTTGCAAGTCAAATGCTACGGTGGCTTCGGAGCAGCTTGATGCAATCATTTAGCTCCAAGTGCTAGAGAGAAAACTGAATAAATATTTCATTAGAAGTCAAATCCCAATTCTTTCTAACATAGCCAAGCTGTTTCTCTAACACTAGTTGTGATTATTTCTTTAAATTAATTATTTCACTAATCAAACGGGGATGTTTAACATCATGGTTTCATAGCTGTTCTGAACCAAGGAACTTTTCTTTCTTACTAACCATGAAAATCTTTCCTTTCCTCTTCAGCAACACTTTACTTCAACTATAAATGACCGACATTCAAAGCACTACTGGGTTTGTCTTTCCAGCTAGAATCATCTTAATAACCTGATTTGGATTTAAAATTTCATCACAATTCTCGTTAACATGCAAAATTATAAAAAGCAGTAATAAAAACACATCAAAAGTACCTGAATTACTCTCAAGTTGTCATGATTTTGCACATTATGTGGGAAAAAAAGATCAAATTTTAAAATGGTCTTAAGACTAAAATGGCAGAAATGATTAGCTAAGATATAAATGAATTTTCACAAATCTCTACATTCATTATTTATTTATTTATTTATTCTGAAAATGAGCTGATATAAAAATGACGAGAAAAGTAGTTTATTGTGCCTCATTAACCAAAATATATTACATTTTAAATATTTCTGAGATGATCCAAAGTTTATTTAAAATAAGGCAAATAAAGAAATATTAAAGTTGTTTTATACTTTTGTGAGTGACTAAACCAAATACTTCAGAATTACAGGTTCATTTAAAGGTGAAATTAAAATATAATTTTGTTTTATCTAAAGAATGATCATTTGTTTAATAAAACATCTTTTTGTAACAAATAATTTCTCAGAAGTAAGAATTTAGAAAAATTAGCTTCAAGGGATATTCCACTTCTAAGTGACATTTATTCTGTTGCCATATTCCCCATAGTTAGATAAGTGTGAAGTAGCAGTTTTTTTTAAACTGGCCAATTCTTCTAATCTGGCAGTGTTCTGTTAGCTTTAGCTTAGCATAAACAATATAAGTGAATGGTAACAGATAGCATTTTTTGTGAAAAGGTCATGAAATGTACTCAGTAATTATCTAATTCTTCTTAGTGACCTCAGTAATCGTTTTGATTGAAAATGACAAAAAAAAGTACTGGAGCTGATTTAGACTTGGGACTAAATTAAGACAAAGCACCGCTGTAAGTGTAAGTTACCCCAAAACTTGCTCTTTAATTCAATTTATTTATTTAGCGCCAAATTACAACAAGAGTCACTTCAATGCACTTAAGAAAGTAAACAAGAACAGTTCAGTTCCATAAACCAATCAGTAAAATGTTTCCTGTATAAGAAACCCAGTAGATTGGATCGAGTCACTGACTAGTGTCAGAGTCTTTACAGCAATCCTCGTCCCAAGCAAGCATGAAGTGACAGTGGAGAGGAAACTTCCACAGGAGGTCACTGTCATCGGGCTGAAAACTGTACACCTAGGCCTTATCCCTTTACTAGCTCTGCACCCTACGGTGTTCAGCGAAGGGCACTTGGAGGAAGTGTGCAGTAAGGCTTCCAGTGCGTAGACCACAAGTGAGCAAATAATTGTCAAATTGGGACAGTGAGCATTGCGTCATCGACCGCATCGCTTGCCGGTCGCTGTTTGTGCTACTTTTAAAAAAATCTTTAACAACTTTCCAACAAACAGTTTCCTGTAAAAAATTAACATTTATTTCTGTTCACATTATATCTTAGTCTAAAACACGCAGAGCATGAATACATATCATTAATCATCTTCAAATGAACTTCTTTAATTTGAAAATACATATTTTTAAAAAGAACACTTGAGCCATTGCTCCGCCTTCTTCTCAAAATTCCCACGCAGCAATGGATTGTGGGCAATACCCTTTGCCCAAGTCTGCATTAGTGCAGATTTGGTGAATAGTAGCCTGACCAGCCAGCCCCATGCTTCCTTATGGGAAGCATTGGGTCTGGTGACTCTCCTGTAGACATAACCCCACCCCCTGACAATTCTAACCGAGCCAAACAGCGCTGAGCGGCGTACGTCTCACACCACGACGCTGAGTTTCTCATAAACATGGTGACTGAAAGCGGAGTTCGCTGTGGCTCTTTCATCTGTTCTGAAGGACTTGGACACGTTTTTGAAACCACAACAAGTAGAAATGCTAAAAGCTTTACTTCTCTAGAAAGATGTTTGTGCTGTCGCCAGACCCCATTTTTGACTACAGCTAAAAATCTACAGCGTTGCACGGTACAGTCGGCATTTCCGCCTTATTCCGGATTGGTTATTTTTGAGCTGGCTACTAGTCCCGCTCCTCATGTTCCTCTGCCTATGACTAACCAGACTAGGTGAATAACTGGGTTGGTAGCAAAATTCCCACTTATTTACTCTGGGGAGTATGGAAACAAACTAGATTTCACTTAGACATGGAACTACCCTTTAAAACTCTGAATCCAGTCTGTAAAACACGGCAGCAGTGGTATCATGTTGTGGGTCCATTTTAGTGTTGTCAAAAAAATCGATACCTAGATATAAATCGATGCTAAAAGTGGTATCTAAATTAGATATTCCATCCCTGTGGTATCGATATTATGGACTACTATACACAGCCTTCTTCAAGTACACGACACGCACGACAGCCTGATGCCGTAAAGTAGCCTCCGCCTCCCAGACAAACAGAAGACGCCGCATGGCTACATTGCAATTTCCCACGCGAGTTGTCTCCGATCCAAGTTTTGTCTGCCAAATAAATAAACAAAAACATAAACATCGCCGGTTAGATTAGCCGCGGCTAGTCTGTTCACGCCTAGAAATCCCAGACTCGCTCCAAACGAACAGGGGAATCCCGTTAATGATTCCTAACAAAGCCTTTCGACATGAAGATGTTTTGGTGCAGATAATGTCTTATTTCGAGGCTGCACCATGGGTGCCCGTCCGCACCCGTTATATGGATGTACTCTGATGGCGATTCGCCGATGGATCTACGGTAAATACCCCGGGGACACGCACCGACACGCACGACAGCCAGATGCCGTAAAGCAGCCTCCGCCTCCCAGACAAACAGAAGAAGCTGCCGCATGGCTACATTGTAATTTCCCACGCGAGTTGTCTCCGATCCAAGTTTTGTCTGCCAAATAAATAAACAAAAACATAAACATCAAATTTCGGAGGCGCTTCACATCCCAACTTAATTAGCATACCAAGTCCGACACGTAGTTGTGTATTCATGCTTATGTGCTTAAAGGAAAACTCCCGTTTATTGCAACCCGGACTTAATTCTAGCATGCAGTATGTTTGTTTACTCACGCTGACAACTTTGGTGCTACTTGGATTCCCCGGGGTATTTACCGTAGATCCATCGGCGAATCGCCGTCAGAGTATATCCATATAACGGGAGCGGACGGGCACCCATGGTGCAGCCTCGAAATAAGACATTATCTGCACCAAAACATCTTCATGTCGAAAGGCTTTGTTAGGAATCATTAACATGATTCCCCTGTTCGTTTGGAGCGAGTCTGGGATTTCTAGGCGTGAACAGACTAGCCGCGGCTAATCTAACTGGCGCTTTTAATGACGTCACTGCCGTGCGCCAGTCTGCTTTTATTAAGATTACCGATAGATGTACCTTTGTCCTACTGTGGAGAAATTCGTTTTCTCCCTTTATTGACCAACAGAGTTGTTCAAAAGTACAGAACAAAACATATGGCATTACAGCTTATGACAAAAATGCACCTTAAACAGAGTTTAAGCAGCAAAACATCACTCTGCAACTACTTTATATATAGTGAGACAATTCATGATTTAAAGTGTTAACTTTCGCCAGTTTTTGTATGCACGTTTAAAAAATGCTGATACTTGAAAGGTTTAAGCACTTTACACACTCAATTCTTAACATTTAATTTTTGCAATATAAATTGAGGAATGTTATTTTTTGAATAAACTTGTTCAATAAATTGGTGTTTTTAAATAGTATCGAAATCGAGTATTTTCCCCCAGTATCGAATCGAGTTTGAAATTTTAGTATCGTGACAACCCTAGTCCATTTTATAGCATCTTGACCAGAAAGTTTTAGGGGTCGTATTATAGAAACGACAATACAACAGAAAACCAAGTTAGCGTACTTTAGCTGATTTTTAATAAACAATTCTTTGAGAGAGACTAGCCGTTAGAGTAATCTGATACCCTACCAGAGTAATCTGATACCCTACCAGAGCAGTTCCATAATGTACGTAGATGACTGTAGATGTGTCACATCACACATGAAGCTGGGCTGTGTGCTTAACATGTTTAAGCAAAGTGTTGCTGCCTTTTCTCACCTCCTACATAGAGTCCGCTTCTCAGCACAGACGATGTGTTTGGGTTATTTGTGCTGACTGAGTTTGTCCCGCTCAGGCTCGATTAGCTCATGTGGCTGCAGAAGCCGAGCTGAAGGTCCCGTATGCAGATGAGCTCCCGTCCCGGCAGGCGCAGCTCTCGGCGCTGCGAGACACCGCGGAGTTTGATGTTCTGGTTGTTGGAGGAGGAGCCACGGGAGCAGGATGTGCCTTAGACGCCGTCACACGCAGTAATATCTTTGTGCTCTTTCTTCTGAGATGATTGATGAAGGTGGTTCTGTGAGCTTATATTAATCAGATCGTTCTTCTCCAGACCTCAAAACGGCGCTCGTAGAACGAAGTGACTTCTCTTCAGGAACCAGCAGCCGGAGCACTAAGCTCCTCCACGGTGGGGTCCGATACCTCCAGAAGGCCATCATGAAATTAGACTACGAACAGGTCCCTCTTGTCTTCTCGTTTTGTTGCTCCTCTTGTGCTTCGTTATCTTATTAGGTCTGTTGTCTTTCATAAATCAGTACATGATGGTGAAAGAAGCCCTGCATGAGCGGGCCAACCTGCTGGAGATTGCTCCCCACCTGTCGGCGCCGCTACCCATCATGCTTCCTGTTTACAAGTGAGCGTCAAACTCACGAGGGACAACAGGTGAAACATAATGAGTTGGATGTTGTTCGTGATCATTGTTTATTTATAAGGTGGTGGCAGTTGCCTTATTACTGGGCAGGAATCAAGATGTATGACTTGGTGGCTGGAATCCAGTGCCTGAAGAGCAGCTATGTCCTCACTAAGTCCAAGGCCTTGGAGTATTTCCCCATGCTTAAGAAGGACAAGCTGGTAGGAGCCATCGTCTACTACGATGGTAAGAAAAAGTTCATTTAATTCTCTGTCTTTGTTCCTAGATTTTATTTTGTGCACACAAAAGAAATCTGGGTCGGATCCAGTTATGGGAGACAGATAATGATCATTAAACACATCCTAAGCAGTGTTGGGCAAGTTACTTCAAAACTGTAATGCAATATTTATTACTTGTTACCATCATTTTAAAGTAATTCATTACATTACAATATTACTGATTTTAAAATGTAAGGCATTACACTACTTTTGCATTACTTTAAGTTACTTTCACCAAAACAACTTCAGTATGAATCTGGTAATCTGACGCTCAGTGAGCTCGTGACATGTATGTGGAAAGTGACGTGAGCCCTGGCATTTTTACTGTGATTGCCTGTTTTTCTGTAAAATCACAGAAAAAGAGATGCTCGGGTCGAGCAGGCTGCTTCATGCGCGTTCACGCTCAGGCATAGCCAGCACCATTCTTTGAACGTTGTTTCAGCTGTCATCAAGGATATAAATGTTACAGATACAGTGGAGGCCACTGGTGATTTAGCTCACCTAGTAAAATTTCGGGCTTTCGTGCAGAAGACCCGGGTTCGATTCCGGCTGAGAACATGGTTGTTTTATAATTTCGTTTTTACATTAATGATATTTTTTTTACAGTAAGATGCCCAAATTTTTATTTGAGACTCGCCGAACGGCATTTAATTCACAGATAAAAAAGATGTGTGTTCAACTTTCATTTTGGAACAATTTTTCAAGCAAGGGAAGGGAATGATCTGAGCATGCAGGAGGACTGACCCATCATAAACCTTTGTCGGCTGTGCTGGAGAGGAAAGTACAGAACTAGGGCTGCACAATATATCGAAAAATTATCGTCATCGCGATAACGGGACGTGCGGTAGGCCCATCGCAAAGCACGTCAAAAACGGAGATAAATGTTTGGTTCAAACATTTCCATTTGTGTCATACATCAACTTTTTGTAAACCAGCTCTGTTTTTTTACATGGAAGTATTATTTGACCAATCAAATGTAGTCCTTCTGATATGTGGCCAATCAGATGGGTCCGTTCACGTAACATGCCCGCCCGCTACGTAGACCCTTACCCCAAAATTCCACTATCTCCGCTCCGCCCCCGCTTTCCGCTGCCGCTCGCTTCCCTTGTTCGTCATGCTGGCTCAGATTAACAATGAACTTTGTGCTGAGGTTTCTGGAATCAGCGCTGCTTTCAAACGTGAACGTGAGTCCGCTCGGTGTCGTTAAGCAGCTGATAATAACCGGGCTGACTCCGACACGTGCCGGTGAACCAACCCACCATTAGCCCCAGGCTCCAGTTAGCTTCCAGCTAAAAGGCTACAGCACTCTCCTCCCAGTCCCACCCTGCTAAAGAGGGCCTGGAAAAGTTCCCACACACATCAAAGTGATTTTTCCTTTATGAGCTTTAATAACCTTGTTAATCAGGATAGTTGATTTGCTGCTGCACATAAACTGTCAGTCAGAAGCTCTGCTAGCCGGTTATCGTAGAGGAGCTAGTTCAATTTGTTAGCTTGTTATCAGAATCATAGTTGCAGTTTCATCATCTGAGCTGCTTTTTAAGATCTAGGTAAACTTGTTCAATTTGGGGTTAAAAACAAACGTTTTCACATATTTTCCATGTAGTTGCTGTAATAGTCTTTTATTTAGAAAATTACTGGGGGTTTTTACACTGAAACCATGTGTGATTTCCTGTCTAGCCCTATGTTAACTGCAAAAATCGACGTGTCCCAGAAGCGGCTAGCGGCAAAAATATAACTCAATCCTATCTTTACCAGATCGTGCGAATGCACCAGCCAGCGTGCAGCCGTCTCAGTTGCTCCGACTTTTCTTCTACCTTTTAACTAATTTTAAGTTGTTGAGTTTTTAGCTTTTCTTTTGTCTCGGATCAATGTTTTTTGAGAATGCAGATCATGGAACCGTGGCTCTACACAACACGCTTTGTTTACTCCAGGGAACAGTTGACCACTGTCAGGGCACAGCTGTTCGTATTGCGTGAATTTTGCAGCAATTATTCTGCCTTGCTTGGTTGTAATATTGCGGTAATTGTCTGCCTTATAAACGGCGATTGCACCGTAGCGCAACAGAAGGAGGTGTCTTGATGACGTAGGGGGTTAATGCTGAGCTCCGGCCAACAACTTAATTGAAATTGAAAGTAAACATGCGCCGTAAGTTTTACTTTTTGAACAAAATCGGCCTAGACACCAAAGTGGAGCGCTGCAGCACTCCGGGTTCTTCTCTCTGTTAGAGCTGGAGCTCAGATCACCAGAGACTGCACAGGGACTGAGGAAGACCGACACCTTTAGGTGCTTCATTAGCAATAAAAAGCAAGTTATGTCCAAGATAAAAGAAAGTCATCGGCAGCGCATGAACCGCCTCCATACCCCCTTAATGCCGCCATCGCCTAACCTTTTATAAAAATGGCACAATTGCGCCACATTACCGCCACGGAGTTGTGGCTAATTGACAGCGTTGTTTTGTCAAAATGGCTTGTATGTATAACTGACTGTATTACCTTCTGCATTAACTAAGAATTCAATTCAAAAATACTTTATTAATCCCAGAGGGAAATTCAATCATTTCAGTACAGACAATTCCAAGATCAGACATACACACATAGACACATGACAAGAATTGTTGACTGTGGTCATTCGCAACGCGAGTCGCTCTACCATTATAGATCAAGAGCGTTTATATGAGGATAGAGTCAGGGGGAGGGGAAAAGGCACTTCAGAGTTACCCCCGACAGAGAGGATAGCTTTGCTGTGCAAAAAAACACCTCAGACAGATACGCACACAGACTTCAGACGATACACAACATAAGTCTCCACTAGTGGGGATGGAAGGTTCTAGGACTCTCCTCACTTCAGATTGCGCAGCCGCAGAGCAGCGCTCACCACCTCCGTTTGGATAGGGGAGGGAGATAATTGGGTTAGAGAGCATTTTATTTGTTTGAGGGACTATGTCTCTCACCTGGCCAGGGAACGCCTTGGGATTCCCCCAGAAGAGCTGGCCCAAGTGGCTGGGGAGAGGGAAGTCTGGGCCTCTCGACTAAAGCTTGGTTTATGCTTGACACATTCACTTTCCGCGCGGTGATGCGGCTCGCGGATGGAACGCGCTTCACAACTCGCAGCGTTTATGGTTTGTGCGGCTCGTCTCTGCGGTGAGCCAATATTCTCCCAAACTGTAGGGGGCAGCATGGAGCTCTACTGCATGCATCCAACACTACACCATAGTAGAAGTAAAAATTACTGTTTACAACATGGCATTTCAGCATTTTTAACAGCGTCCTCGTCTTTTCCGACAGTGCGAGCTATTTCTCTCCACGAATTATTAACAACATGTTGATCACGGTGATCTCTGAGAGCTGAATCATACAAATGTCTGTATTTACGAACCTCTGCCGTACTAGTTCTTGCCGGTCCGCCATGTTTTTCCGCGTCCGTCCGTCCGCGTGGTTAGAAATTTCCGAGGTGCGCGTTGCGGAAATTTTGAGCCGTGCGGAGACGGGGTGGAGGGGCGTGGTTGTTAAAATGACGCAACTTTTCCGCGCGGAGCCGTGTGGATCTCGCGGACGCGTCAAGCATAAACCAACCTTTAGGCTACTGCCCCCGCGACCCAACTCCGGATAAGCGGATGAAAATGGATGGATGGTTGGACAAAATCTGCTGATTTTATAAGCATTAATGTCAGTATATTGGTATCTGCAAATATCGGTTATCGGCCACAACAGTGATCTTAATATCGGATGTCGGTATCGGCACAGGAGTAGAGTGCTTGCTTCATAATCGGAAGGTTGCAGTTTTGAGCCCCGCTTAGTCTGTTGCTGTCGTTGTGTCCTTGGGCAAGACACTTAACCCACCTTGCCTGCTGGTGGTGGTTGGAGGGACTAGTGGTTTCTTTGTACGGCAGACTCACCTCTGTCAGTGCGGCCCAGGGCAGCTGTGGCTATAATGTAGCTCATCGCCACCAGGGTGTGAATGGGTGAATGACTGATTGCGTTGTAAAGCACCTCGGGTGGTTCCAGGACTCTAAAAGGCACCATATCAAGTGCAGACCATTTACATGAATTTACCACAGAGTCTCTTTTTTCCCAACATAGCTGCTATTTACTAGCCTAGTGAACTAGACCAAATTCTTGCTTTGCAAAGTTTGGTCTAGGCATGCTCCATTGGAACCGCCGCAGCTCCTACCAGGACTCTGGCTAGCCAATCACAGCTCTCTAGAGGGGTTTCAAACACATAAAGAGCTGTGATTGGTCCATAATGGTGGGCCAATCATAGTGCACTATCTGCTTAGTGAACAAATCACAGAGCTTTATCTGCTTTGTGGGCCAATCAGGGCACTCTATATGCCTGGTGGGTGGGATGATGCAACAGAGTGAAACAAGAGTATGTCACATTCGTTGTCCAGTGGAATGCAGAGATCATTTGAAAGACAACGGTAGAACCCGCCCCACAACCGAGAGCCGTCAATGGAGCGTGGCCAGACTAAATAATACATTTATTTAGTCTGGCTTGCCAGGCTAGCTATTTACCACATGGCCACATTTAGTGTGGTTTTCTCCATATTTAAGGCTCCTTCTTTCGTCCAGGAAGAAGGATGCGAAGCTCGCTAAACTAACAGCCATTTTTCTCTCTCAGTTTTTAAAGACACAAAAAAATCTCTGAAAATGCCTTCTAGATTTAAAATGTGCTAAAAATAGACTTAAACTGTACTTCTATTCTATTTATAATAAACATAATAACCCATTTGACAGTTTCTAGCATAGATTTTAATTTTACTCAATCTAGAAAGTTCCTTACAATCAGGGAAGTTTCTGCTGATACGCTGCCCTGTGGGACTCCTGTGTCGTAAAACCGTGAATATGCTTAAATGACCTTTGAGGAAAGAAAAGATTAGTAAATGTTAACAGTGTTTTAGTTCCTGGTTTCCTGTTTTTTACCCTCCTACCTTAGACAGATTTTAGTTCCTGGAGCTTATTATTTCTTTGTGATGTAATTTCAGTCCCAGCTGCCGCAGGAAACCGGAAAAACAATCCAGCAACCACCTTGCACTCAGGAATGAATGTTAATACAGAAATAGTTTAGAAATTACAGGCAAAATGTTGAACAAAGGATAGAAGCTGTAGATATTTGGTCCTACCTGAGGGCTTCTTGACTCAGCTGATGCTGAACAGTGCGCTTTGACAGGTGGGAGGAGGCTCTTTCGTCCCCCTAGCATTAATGGCTGCGTGCTCTTTGTTTTGATACGATGAAACCTGAGCAGATTCTCCAGCTGAGTGTGAGGAGACTCGTGCCTCAGGCGCCTTTTCCTTTGTGCTGAATGTAAAAGTCTGCTGGCCATTTGTCTTCACTGCACTTCACTTATGCCAAAGAATTCAATCAAAGTTCTATGTTTTAGTCTTTTACGGAGCTCCTCTTTTATCCGTTGCTAAAATAATCCTCTACTGTTGTTGACTCCTGCCCAAAAAACCAAAACAACCCCCTTCCTGTGGATAAATGTATGCATTCCACACTGAAAAAGAGCATTTTGTGGGTGCTCCTTCCCCTCCTCCATCAGCGGTTTGCATGATGGTGGAGAACCGGGGCGTCTTTTCTCCAATTATTTCGTCTGGAACAATCATGCCCGTGACATTTAGAAATCTGACCTTCTCTCCTGGCGGTGCTGAGGCGCGTCGGACTGAGCAGCAGCTTTCTCTCCTGCTGCACCAACCTGAACCAAATCTCCTGAGCGTCACACCGGGACTCGTCCTACAAAACATCCTCATTTTTATTACATTTAAGATTTCCCAACATGATATCTTCACACAGACCCAAAGATGGGACTAAGACTTGCTCCTTTTGTTTATTTTTATGAGCAGCTGATTATTTATGGCGCCAGAACAATGTGTTATCTGATTATTTATACCCTTAATGGGTTTTTCAGGCTTAACTGCATCCACGTGTCATGAAAATGTACACAATTTTATTGTTGAAGACCAAGTTTAATCTTACACCCGAGTCTTTTCTGACTGAACTTCAATATTTAAAGACCAAGTACCAGTCTAATAATGGCCTTACTCTAGTTGTATACGGAGATTTGGTTCCGATTTTGTTGTCATTGCCTGGATTCATGATCAATGTGGTCCCTACGTTCTTCCGAGCAGATCAGAGCGCTCTTAACACACCACACAAAGTAGGATTGTTTGATAAGATTATCTTCAGAGTAATGAAGCTAATAGTGTGCAACCTTAAGATTGTTGAAAACGTTGGGGATGGTCTGAAATCAGCACAGTCCTGCCAGGTGATCTGGGCCTAACTGAGCTCTGGCCAAATGACGGAAGGTCGACTGAAGTTGACGTCTTTTCTCCCGGATATTTGATGAAATTGCTGATAGTAAATTGTTGAAGGAAAACTTTATTGATCATCCATCAGTACACGAGGGAAAAAGCAGATGTGATGAGTCATCTGCGTAATGTTTCCTACCTTACAGCTAATGCAAACTTGGATAACTTCATCCTGCTGGGATTTCTGATGATGTAAAAATCAGATGTGATAGTACAGGCATGCCCAAGGTTTGGCCCGGGGGCCATTTATGGCCATTGGGGTGAGTTTGCGTGGCCCACAATTGCATATCTAGACGCTTTTCTTTCTCTGGCAGGTTTATGACGGATTGATACTAACGCAGAGCCTTTTTGAGTGACATATAGAAAACATTCACAGTTAAACAAATTTAGCACTTTTTAAATGACTAATGTTCAATTTTGTGTCTTGCAGATTAGAGCAGCACAATTTAGAAAATATGCATATCTGTAAAAAATTGTATACTAGTCGACATCAGTAATTTTTGCTAACTATAAAACATTAAAATATATATATATATCTTTGGTATGTTCTTGCTGTGTTTAGTTTCAAACTGCATTTTTGGTTCATTTTTTTAAACACAGAAAAGTTTTTTTTTACCTTGCTGCTGATGTTTCGTTTACCGGCTGTAAACTTCCTCAGAGCTGACGCTGATGGTGGCGTCACTTCCTTCTCCATTCATCCGCGGGCAGCAGAGGACGTTGTCGGCCTCGGCTGCCCGCTCAACAACAGAAAGAAAAGAACGACCAAAGCAAAGAACCAGAAACTCGGAAAGACGAGAACCAAAACCAGTGATAACCTTACCATACATCAAAGGCATAACAGAAAAAATTACAGCAACAATGAAAAAACACAACATAAACACACCAACAAAACCATACACAACAGTTAGAAACAGACTAGTACACCCAAAAGACAAGATACCAGCTGGATATAAATGTGGAGTCATTTACGAAATCCCAGGCAAACTCTGCAATAAAACATACGTTACGCCATTATTGGATTTAGAGGGGTTGAGGACCAATGGATCTTTAAGACATAGAGGAAATTATCTCTGTCTGGCCCCAAAACAAGTTCTTATCTGAATCTGGTGCCCTTGAGCCTGTGAGGCTGAAGTGATTACTCCCCTCAGAAGAAATGTGGAATGCTGCCATCACCAACTCGCCATGGCAACTCTGTCTCCCTGTCCCAGCCTGGACGGGACTGCGACCGGTGAAGGCCGTTGAATCGTTTCCAGGAGTCACTGTGCTCTCTAAACCCAACGACCTCCTTCCCCTGTCCAAATGGAGGTGACGAGCGCTGCTTATCACAGCTGCATGCACTGATGTGTGGAGAGTCCCGAACCCTACCTCCCCACCTAGTGGACACTGATGTTGTGTAATGTCTGAAAACTGTTGCATTTCTGTCTGAGGTGTTTTTTGTGGAGCAAAGCTGCCCTCCCTGTGGAGGGTAACTCTGAAGTGCCTTTTTTTCCTCCACCTGAACCAATCCTCATGTAACCCTCTGATCTCTATTAAGGTAGCGCGACTCGGGTTGCGAATGACCACAGTCACCAATTCTTGTCATGTGTCTATGCCCATGTATGTCTGATCTCAGAATTGTGTGTACTGAAACTCTAATTTCCCTCTGGGATTAATAAAGTATCTTTGAATTGAATTGAATTGAACTGAATAGGAGAAACCGGACGCCAACTCAGCACACGAACAATAGAACATAGAAAGGAGTGCGAGAGAGAAACAAGTCGCAGACACACGAGAGCAGCAAAACAAGAAGCAGAAAGTGCAATAAAGAAGTCAGCCATAACCGATCACTGCACAAGAGAAAACCATGTAATGGACTGGGACAACACAAGGATCATAAACACCGAACAACAGAAATACAAAAGATGGATGAAGGAAGCCATAGAGATAAGGAGACGTGGATATGGGACCATGAACAGAGACGAAGGCGTTTACACATTGGATCATGCATGGAACTGCATCATCGGAGAGGGCAGAGCGGGCAGCAGAGGACGTTGTCGTCCTCTGCTGCCCGCGGGTAAACGGAGAAGGAAGTGATGCCACCATCAGCGTCAGCTCTGAGGAAGTTTGCAGTCGGTAAACGAAAAACTGTCAGCAAGGTAAAAAAATTTAAAAACTTTTCTGTGTTTAAAAAAATAACCAAAATGCATTTAGAAAATATGTTTTAAGTGCAGCCCTGGCCAATTTATGGCATTGCTTTGTGCTAAAACGAGTTGGTTGTGTCACCAGACTTGGTTTTATCGATTTTCTACAAACGACCATTGTTTGTTTTTGTCAGATTAGTACAAATGAAAATGTTGCCATGCTGGTGAACTACTGTGACCTATTTTTGGGATAATTTCCTCCGCTTCTCCTTGGTTTAAGAGGGGAGGGCTTGGTGGTGGTAGGGAGTACTTAATGACTATTAAGCTACGTGATAGTTAAAGTAAAAGTCCCATTAGTCATCATCACACACTAGTGAAATAAAGCTTGGTTTATGCTTGACGCGTCCGCAAGGTTCGCACAGCTCCGTGCGGCAAAGTTGCGTCATTTTAACAACCACGCCCCTCCACCGCACCTCCTCACGGCCCAAACTTTCCGCACCGCGCACCTTGGAAATTTTCTAACCACGCGGACGGTTGGACGCGAAAAAACTTGGCGGACTGGCAAGAACTAGTATGGCAGAGGTTTGTAAATACAGACATTTGTATGATTCAGCTCTCAGAGATCACCGTGATCAACATGTTGTTAATAATTCTTGGAGAGAAATAGCTCGCACTGTCGGAAAAGACGAGGACGCTGTTAAAAATGCTGAAATGCCATGTTGTAAACAGTAATTTTTACTTCTACTATGGTGTAGTGTTGGATGCATGCGGTAGAGCTCCATGCTGCCCCCTACAGTTTGGGAGAATATTGGCTCACTGCAGAGACAAGCCGCATGAACCATAAACGCTGCAAGTTGTGAAGCGCACTCCATCCGCGAGCCGCATCACCAAGCGGAAAGTAAATGCGTCAAGCATAAACCAACACTTACATCTTCACATTTGACCCCATCCCCATGGGGAGGGATGAGCTACAGGTGTGGCTGCGCTCGAGAACATTTTGGTGGTTTAACCCCCTCAATCCAACCCCTTAAAGCTGAGTGTCAAGCAGGGAGGCATTGGGTCCCATTTTTTAAGTCTTGGTATGACCCGACTGGGATGTGAACCCCAATCTCCCAGTTCTAGGGCAGACACTCTACCACTTGGTCACTGAGATAGGCTGTAATGGGAAAAGAAAGGAACATTTTATTGACGCTTTTATTGACCCATCTTTTTCTATCGCACCACACGTCTATTGACAGATTTGTATCGTCATTGAATCATTGCCCAGCCCTACTGCTGGCTTTGGACAGGGGTTTGGACACCCCTGTGTTGGTGTTTTGTGACAGGAGGTTGGGAAGCCTAAGTGGTTTCATGCCTGTCCTCATCAGGACAGCACAACGACGCCCGTATGAACCTGGCCATCGCCCTCTCTGCTGCTCGATACGGAGCCGCCGTTGCCAACTACACCGAGGTGGTCCACCTTTTAAAGAGGAAGGACCAGCAGAGCGGCAAGGAGAAGGTGTGTGGAGCCCGCTGCAGGGACGTCATCACAGGTGAGGGACTTGTCTTTGTTGCTGAGTCTGGCTCCAGATGGATCACCCCGAGTTTTTATTCATTTGGGCCTGAAACGGTTTTCAGGGCAGGAGTTCGACGTGAAGGCGAAGTGTGTGATTAACGCTACCGGCCCCTTCACGGATTCTCTGAGAAAGATGGACGAACAGGAAGTAGCGAACATCTGCCAGCCCAGCGCTGGCGTTCACATCGTCATCCCGGGTTACTACAGGTATTTAAAACCAGCTGTTCACCCTCATTAAGGGGGAAACTTAATTCTAACCCGACCTTCACCTACGAGTGCAGGACAATCTTCCGTGGTGAAGAAACAGCGGTTTCTATTGGAAGTCAGAGGTTCTTAAAGTTCAGCTAAGCTTATTGAGTGAAACCCGAGGGAGTGCGAGGCCTTTGAACAGAAATGCCAACCACCTCATTTTCTTCCTCCTGCCCCCACCCCCCCTCATATCTGGTTTACTCCCTCTGCTCTTCTCTCATTCCTTCAGTTTTTTTTTAAACTCCACTTTGCATCACATTAACCTCTCGTAATAAATGCTCTCATTTAGCCCTGACAACATGGGGCTCCTTGATCCAGCGACCAGTGATGGACGAGTCATCTTCTTCCTGCCCTGGGAGAACATGACCATCGCCGGGACAACCGACAGCCCCACTAACGTGACGGCCCACCCCATCCCGGGGGAGGACGACATCAACTTCATCCTGACGGAGGTCCGCAACTACCTCAGCTCCGATGTGGAAGGTAGTGAGTCCGCTCTGGTCACATGACTGAAAACATGCGTTAGAAAAACATCTCAGGAACCTCTGAGCAGAACTTGGGCTACGTTCACACTGCAGGCAAATGAGCATCTAGGGATGGGTACATTTGACATTTGAATCGATTCGGTACTAATTCCCGGTACCTAGGAATCGATACCGGTACTTAACGGTACCAATTTTCGATACTTTTGAGTGTTTAATATTTTAATTCTCTTTTATAATAAAATATATATTTTTCTCAATATAAAACCATATTTGATAAATATCACGATAAATAACATACAACTGTTTGTATTTTAACATTGTCCTTGTAGTTTTATAAGCTGATAATTAAACTGAAGCAAACATCTTTACTGTGAACTAAATTTACTGTGTATCTTCATTCCTTTTGCCGTCCTTTTTCATTTGATTTTTCCTACTGGGAAGCTAGAATTTCCGAGGAGAAAGCGAACGCACCATTAGCTGATAACAATGGTAGCAATGGAAGCTAACATATCAAGCTAACGTTATCTTAAACAGTTTATTTAGCTGCTGGAGCAGATTAAAACGATGATGCCTCACACTTAGATCGTTGTCACTGGTTTCATCTTCACCCAATCACCCGTCGCATTTAGTAAAGTGAAGCCAAACTTCTTCTAGTCGGAAATTCGGAGTTCCGAGGAGAAAGCAAACGCACCATTAGTGAAACGGAAGCTAACATATCAAGCTAACGTGATCTTAAACATTTTATTTACCTACCGGAGCAGATTAAGATGAGGATGTCTCACTTAGATCGTTGTCGCTGGTTTCATCATCACCCAGTTACCCATCACATTTAGTGAAGTGGACCCAAGCTTTAGCGTGCGTTCTTTCTACCATGCTGCTCTGTTTACAACTCGCTCGCAGCGACCGACGACATAACGCTCTTGTGGATGCGCAGCTGTCTAGGCAAGTTCTCGTTATGAAGGACGGGTACCGAAACGAGGCACCGTTTCAAATGACGTGAATTGGTGTTCGGTCGGTACTATGGAATTCGGTCGGTACTATGGAATTCGGTCGGTACCTTAAAAAGTACTGAATTCGGTACCCATCGCTATGAGCATCAAATGCGACCCCCCCCCCCCCACATGTGACCTGTATTTGATTTATTCATGACAGTCTGAACAGCACCGATCTGAATTGTTCTAATCCGATCCAGGTCATGTTCACATGTGGTACCGATTCTAATACATATCTGATGTTTTTGAAAGTGACTGCAGTCTGAACGGTCGTGTCGCATTAAATCCGCCTTCTACATCACCGAGTCAGCGGAGGTGAGCGTCGTGTGTTGACATTCCTGAGGAGAAGCGCTGACAGACATCCTGTCAACATGAGAACAGGCGGTGCTGCTGAAGCGGGCGTCTCACCGGTCTCGTTCTCTGTGAGAGCCGGGGGATCTCAGAGATTGAACATAATAGCAGGAATAAGGAGTAAAATAGTTGTTTAACCTTCTGGGGTCCATGGACGCGTGTCCGCGTCTTTTGAACAGGTCTGATTTGGGACGCTTTAGCAGCAAGACTCCGCCTCCATGAGTTTCAGTTTCAATTAAGCTTTACAAAGGAGATTATAAACTACACCCCAGTTTTTAAATTGTGTTAATAGGCAAGTAAAAGCGGAGTTATACTAAACTAAAAAAACGACCTATTTTTAGACAATCTGATAACTTGTCAAAACAGCAGTTTAGTAATCTGTGAGAGGGAATGTGCTTGTGAACATAAAAAAACCCAGAAAAACATGAGATCCTTTTGCTGTTGGTGGAAGTCTCACATATTCAGTTGATAAAAAGCATCATTATGTAGCTGAGAGAGAGAGGAAGGCCGCACGAGTAACGAGATGTGTGCAAAAAGGAGCCGCTTCGCGGGGAAAGGAGTGGCGCGACCGGAGTAACAACAAACAATTAGACAGATATTGATGGTAAACTTCATATTTTGGAGCGATCTGGACAGATTTATCGTCTCTGCAGTTTAGTAGGCTTCTGTTAGGCTTTAATAAAGGATGATGAGAAGGATAAATGTCCACCGGCAGGTCAGATAGTACGTCTGTTTTATGAACTGGAAGCAGAGGAAGTGGACGGAGACTCACAGCCGGAGTCTGAGGCAAATGGCGAGGATGTTGATGACGATGCGGCGGATCCATCCTTCCTCATAGAAGAGTTGGGTCATGATGAGGTAGAGGATGAAGGCAGAGATGCAGCTCCTCGGAGGTCCAACAAGAGGAGAGGGCAGCGCCGTGCAGTTGACAGAGCCACTCCCCACTCCAAAATGCATGTACATTATTGCCAAATTAATAAAATAAGTATAGATTCAGATAGTCCAGGTTGTCCTGAAAATAATGATACCCCATAAGGCAATATTTATTGTTTTTATTAGAAAATACAAAAGAAAAACCAAAATGAGTCAAAAATGGTGATTTACACCCTGGACCCCAGAGGGCTAATAATTTGTTTAAAAATTTGTTATTTGCTATATTTAGTCATATTTTTTATAAATGTACAGTCTAGATTACCATTCTAAATAATAAAAAACATTCGTCATAAATGTTTGTTGGTTTCACAGTAAAATAAACAACTTTGTTCCAATGTGGATTTTATGTTTTTGAGTGATTTAAGGTCTAATATGCAACCCCTTTATGTCCAAATATAAAGAAAAAAGTATAAATTCATAATGTCCAGGTTGTGCTGAAAAGATTGATACCACAAAAGGCAGTGGTTATGGTTTTTATTTTGGAAATACAAAGGAAAACTCTAAATTAGTCAAAAACGGCAAATTACACCCTGGACCCCAGAGGGTTGAACAGTTTCCAGCCCAAAACGGGAGACTTGACGTGTGTGATCCTGAAATTGTGGATAAACTGTTGGTGAAGCTCTTCACATCGAAACTCCGCCTCTCCTGGTTTTGACTCCACTGAGTGTGTCTTCTTGTCTTCTGCACATGCGGGTCGCTTTGGGGCCGTGGAGCGTTCACACTGGAGAGAGTTTGATGTCGCATTTCGGTCATGATGTGAACGGTCACGCAAAAAAATCTGACTTACTTACTTAAGGCCAGCAGTGTGAACCTAGCCTTAATTAACCTTCAGTTGGATCTGTGGAAATCTGCAGATGTTTGTGTTCTGGTGAACTCGGAGATCATCATAGCAGCTCGTATTTGGAACGGCTTTGTCCTCAACTGGTTCTTCACGACATTCAAACCCTATTCTCTCTGCATTGGGAGTCAACTGGTGTGAACTCTAAACCTCTCACCTTTCTTGTGTGTCTTTAGTTCGTAGAGGAGACGTTCTGGCTGCGTGGAGCGGCATCCGTCCTCTGGTGACTGACCCAAACTCTAAAGACACCCAGTCCATCTGCAGGAACCACATCGTCAGCATCAGCGAGAGCGGGCTGGTTACCATTGCAGGTCAGCTGGGACTCTGAAGCTTCCTGTTAGGTACGATGACCCAGCAGTGACTGTGAGGCCGTGTGTGTTCAGGTGGGAAGTGGACCACCTACAGGTCCATGGCGGAGGAGACTCTGGATGCAGCCATCGGAGCTCACAGCCTGACAGCTGAATCCTGCAGGACTGTGGGTCTGATGCTGGAGGGGGCAAAGGGCTGGACGCCGACCCTCTACATCCGCCTGGTGCAGGACTACGGCCTGGAGAAGGAGGTCAGAGCTCAGGGACTGGGGTTCACCCGTGCAGCTTTAACAGGAGCGCAGAAGCATCAGAATCAGGGACTTGTGAAAGGCTTTAAAGTAAATGAAACAGGTTAGAGCACTATAGGACAAAGAAGGGGAATGATGGAAAGAGCTGGAAAAAATGTAGGAACTCACCTTTTAGACATTTAATATTTTATTTTGGCAGATGTGTTTTAGAGCTCTATAATTACCAGTGAAAGTTAAATCACCCATTCACCTTTTCAATATTTACCTTTTTAAGGATCCTTTTGGGCGACTTAAGCTCATAGTTCAGAGTATCCGTGGGTCCTTAAAAAGTCTTAAATTAGCTTTTCCAAATTTAAGTCCCTAAAAATCCTTAAAAATGACAAATAATCCTTAAAAACAGTTTCCAAAGGTCTTAAATTACCAAAGACCCAATAAACAAGATTATTTTAGCTCTATAAAATTTTCGTGAATGTCTAGTTAGTGTTCAGCATTTTTTGTGTACGATGTTGCCGTGAAAAGGGGCTATTTTTAGATGAGCACATTAGCTGGTTAAGCTAGTGGGAGCTTGCACCATGGGGAAGTGCAAGTTTAATGGTAACTGCATGGCTAATCCCACGTTCGTGACGTGGTTAGCACCGGTTCCAGGCAACAGACGGAAATTATAGCTTAAATTTGGTCATAGTGGCCTTAAAACGGGTCTTTAAAAGTCTTAAATTTGGCTCCCTTAACCCTGCAGTTACCCTGATAGTTCCTTGTTCCAGTCAGTTCTGGGAACTCCACGTGTACATCTCAGCAGCTGGGATGCTTTCATTGATGTTGAACCAGTAATTAGAAGCTGACTCTGCTGATATTTGGCCAGGATCAGTCACGGGTCTGACATTAAACCAGCTGTCGTTACAAAGACGACACGTCTACCAAACAAAACAGTCATGTTGAAGTCAGCGAGGTTCGATTCATCGACTGTGTTGGTTCAGACTCCGATAATCAGCCTGCTGGTTTCATTAAAGCAGGAGAACATGGCGTCTGCGTTAAACTCTTTGCTCATTAGAGGCTCCTGCAGCAGACGAGCTGTGGGAGAAATCTCCTAAAAAGGTCACCGCCGATGTTTGGACGGCATTTGGCCTTTCGCGCCATCGGCAAGCCAACGATATGAATCGCAAATAACTTGTTCTGTTCTGTAAACACGCGACAGCTCCTCGATGAAGATGTGGTTATGGTGGAACCGGCTCACTCTTCGTTTGGTGAATTCAGATGAGATGTTGTTTGGCTCCAGGATGATTTATTGTCGATGACAGCAAGTGAATATGCTTCTGTGTCAAAGGTCGCCCAGCATCTGGCCTCGACGTATGGCGGAAGAGCGTTTGACGTGGCCAAAATGGCTCAGGTGACGGGTCAGAGGTGGCCGATCGTTGGGAAACGGCTGGTGTCTGAGTTCCCGTACATCGAGGCCGAGGTAAACCAGGACCAGATAAAGGTCCAGTGCTGCGTCTGAGTCGTCTCTGAACCCGTGTTGTTTCTTTCAGGTTCTGTACGCCATTAAGGAGTATGCCTGCACTGCCATTGATGTCATCGCTCGGCGAACACGCCTGGGCTTCCTGAACGTTCAGGCGGCAGACGAAGCGCTCCCACGCATCGTTCAGATCATGGGCAAAGAGCTGAACTGGAGTCAGGAGAAAAGAACGGTACCGGCTGGTAGGGATGGGTACCTTTGACATTTGATTCGATTCGGTACTAATTCCCGGTACCTAGGAATCGATACCGGTACTTAACGGTACCAATTTTAGATACTTTTGAGTGTTTAATATTTTAATTCTCTTTTAAATGGTAAAATGGTAACTGGCCTGTATTTGATATAGCGCCTTCTAGAGTCCTGGAACCCCCCAAGGCGCTTTACAACACAATCAGTCATTCACACACACATTCACACACTGGTGGGAATGAGCTACAATGTAGCCACAGCTGCCCTGGGGCGCACTGACAGAGGCGCCACCGGTCCCTCCGACCACCACCAGCAGGCAACGTGAGTTAAGTGTCTTGCCCAAGGACACAACAGCGACTGAGTGAGCGGGGCTCGAACCTGCAACCTTCCGATTACGGGGCGAGCACTTAACTCCTGTGCCACCGTCATCCCATTTTATAATTAAATATATATTTTTCTCAATATATAACCATATTTGATAAATATCACGATAAATAACATCCAACTGTTTGTATTTTAACATTGTCCTTGTAGTTTTATAAGCTGATAATTAAACTGAAGCAAACATCTTTACTGTGAACTAAATTTACTGTGTATCTTCATTCCTTTTGCCGTCCTTTTTCAATAGATTTTTCCTACTGGGAAGTTAGAATTTCCGAGGAGAAAGCGAACGCACCATTAGCTGATAACAATGGTGGCAATGGAAGCTAATTTATCAAGCTAACGTTATCTTAAACAGTTTATTTAGCTGCTGGAGCAGATTAAAACGAAGATGCCTCACACTTAGATCGTTGTCGCTGGTTTCATCTTCACCCAATCACCCGTCGCATTTAGTAAAGTGAAGCCAAACTTTAGAGCGCATTCGTGTTCTTCTAGTTGGAAATTCGGAGTTCCGAGGAGAAAGCGAACGCACCATTAGCGAAACGGAAGCTAACAAATCAAGCTAACGTTATCTTAAACAGTTTATTTAGCTGCTGGAGCAGATTAAAACGATGATGCCTCACACTTAGATCGCTGGTTTCATCTTCACCCAATCACCCGTCGCATTTAGTAAAGTGAAGCCAAACTTTAGAGCGCGTTCATGTTCTTCCAGTCGGAAATTTGGAGTTCCGAGGAGAAAGCGAACGCACCATGAGCAAAACGGAAGCTAACAAATTAAGCTAACGTTATCTTAAACATTTTATTTACCTACCGGAGCAGATTAAGATGAGGATGTCTCACTTAAATTGTTGTCGCTGGTTTCATCATCACCCAGTTACCCATCACATTTAGTGAAGTGGACCCAAGCTTTAGCGTGCGTTCTTTCTACCATGCTGCTCTGTTTACAACTCGTTCGCAGCGACCGACGACGTAACGCTCTTGCGCATGCGCAGCTGTCTAGGAACGTTCTCGTTATGAAGGACGGGTACCGAAACGAGGCACCGTTTCAAATGACGTGAATCGGTGCTCAGTCGGTACTATGGAATTCGGTCGGTACCTTAAAAAGTACCGAATTTGGTACCCATTGCTACCGGCTGGACTTTAGTGTTCTGCTCTTCTGTCACGGAGGAAGTGAAACATTTTAGTTTTAGATTATTTGAACCGGAGCCATCAGTCTGACTTTGTGTCCGATGGACCTTCCAGGAGGAGCTGGAAGCAGCGAAGAAGTTCCTGTACCATGAGATGGGTTACAGGTCTCGTTCCGAGCAGCTTACCAAGACATCTGAGATCAACCTCGACTACCAGGAAGTCGTCCGGTAAGAATCGTCCTTCTGAAGCTGTGACTCTGGTTTTCATAAGCCTGGCTTAAAGGTAACACCTGCTCACGCGCGGCGACAGGTACAAGAAGCGCTTCCACAAGTTTGACAAGGAGAAGAAAGGCTTCATCACCACAGTGGACGTCCAGAGAGTTTTAGAGGTGAGATCATCCTTCCTTCATCTCCACACACTCGTCCTCCTTACTGATGCTGGACTGGTTTCTACCATCTGCAGAGCATCAACGTCCACATCGACGAAAATGCTCTTCACGAAATCCTTAATGAGGTGGACCTGAACAAGAACGGACAAGTGGAGATTGATGAGTTCCTGCAGGTTTGTTTCAACACATCTCAGCTCCTTTATTCAGATTCGTGACTAGGAGGTGAATATTTACCATCATCTGTGGCTTTAGCATCTGTAGAAGGACCAGCTTCAGTTTATTCACAAAGCACGTTCCACAACCTTGTCAACAGTGTTGGGAGTAATGCGGTACAAAAGTAATTAATTACTGTAATTCATTGCTTTTTGCTGTAATGTGGTAATGTAAGGCATTACAGGGAAAGGAAATGGTAATATTTACTCGGTACAATTGTCAGTAACGCGGTAATTACAACGCATTTTTAAACCCAGAATCAAGATGTGGGTTTCCTAAAAATTCAAATTGCGGGAAGCCTGAAAAAAGATCCAGTATCCACATATATGACGTCATTTATGGACTCAGCTTTGCAGGCACTCTATGAGCAGAGAGGACGCAGCGGTGATGGCTCAAATACTCCAGCTGCGTCCTGCGCGCGGCCGCTGTTATATTCACAAAATCGCTCCACCAAAACAAAGTCATTCGTTTGTGATTGTTTATATCAGCCCATATTCTCTGGTACTTCATGTACTTTTCAGCTGAGTTCATAATCTGTGCCCTGGTGATTTCAACTCATTGCTGCTGGAGCGCAGCACATGTTAAGCTGTTTTTGCGTTCGGTAGATCCCTTTGGCTGATTAGTTAGAAAGTAGGAAATCTAAGAAACAGTTTTTCTGGAAGACGGAGAAAACATGCAGCATGCAGGAAGGTTAGAGAGAGAAAGAGCAGGAAATTATTCAAATAAAACCAAGAAAACAAAACAAAGTGCTTGAAAAGAAAAAAAGTAGGTAGATTTATCCCCAATACACATGTTTACCAGCGAAAAGCAATAATATATAAGCATTTAATATTTATACATGTGATAGAATCAGATCACCCCAGAAGTCAGTCCCACATCCAGGGCCGTATCATGGCATTTGGGGACCAAGGCAAATATAGGCTTGGAGCCCCCACCACCTCACTCCCTGCTCAGATGGCCCTATAAGATGGCAGCGTGCTGAGAGTACAGATTGTTGTTGCTTTTATTTAATAAACAATCATTTTAAAGCACTGTTATTATATCTGACTGTTTTTAACAGCAATCCTAGCTCAGACACCACATCACCTTCCACATATATGTCATGAGCTCACTGAGCATCACATGACCAGAATCATGTTGAAGTTGTTTTGGTGAAAGTAACTTAAAGTAATGCAAAAGTAGTGTAATGCCTTACATTTTAAAATCAGTAATATTGTAATGTAATGAATTACTTTGAAATGAGGGTAACAAGTAATAAACAATGCATTACAGTTTTGAAGTAACTTGCCCAACACTGCTCATCAAGGTGCTGAACACGACCACAGAAGACACGATAAGAACAAATAAAGTGCGGTGGAATATTAAAAAAAAGATAAAAAAAACAAAGCGAAAACGTTTTTTCATTCTCCCAAAAGGAGGCGGTGCATTGCACAGGGTCCTCGTATCTAGCAGCTCTTTTTCCATCAAACTCTGATGTTTGGTCATTTTATAGATGAAACTACAGAAATTTGAACTGTTTCTGACTACTTTTATTCATTTACATGTTGACACAATGATTTATTGGTTTGAAAATAGTTTGAAAGAAGTAAGAAATAAAGGTAGATTTTAAAAATTGTACTTTAAAATAATCCCTCCTGTTTAAGATTGAAACATAAAAACTGTCCGGCTGAGGAGACCGGCTCGTCTCTCTTTGACACGTTAACCTTTCTGCTTGTCTGACTCGTTTTGTACGGAACGCTCTGAACGCCGTTTTCTCTGCAGCTGATGAGCGCCGTGAAGAAGGGAAAAGTGTCCGACAGCCGGCTGGCCATCCTCATGAAAACAGCCGAAGAGACGCTGGACGAGAGGGGGCCGGTGACGGTGGACCGCAGTGGGGGCGGAGTCTGAGACGTTCGGTTTACAGATGGAAACACAAATGGGACTGTTTTGAATGACAATGCTGCAATCAGCGGGATGAGTTTGTCTAAATCAAGGACACGCCTCGGTGTGTTTTGGGTGAAATCGTATCTAATGAAACCAGTCAGAGAGGAGATGTGTCTTGTCTCTGTGGACAACAGCAAGAAAATGCTTGAAATTATGACATTATGTTTGCAAAAACACCCCATAGTTGAACCTGATCAGCACAGATTGTTTTGTATAATAATATTAATAATTCATGTTTAGCTTAGCTTTCGTTCTTTAGTTCACAACCTCCTAAGAACACGAGAATTTCTACTCAAGATATTTTGTTTCTCTAAAATATGGAGGCTGTAAGCTGCTGTTATAAGGAAGCACAGATTTTATTTAGCCATCTATTTATTGAAAAGTGCCATTTTGATGGTTCATTTATTGAGATTCGGTTGAATTACTAAAATGATTTGAAAAAAGATTTTTACATTTTTTAAATTCAGTAAAAAATAATAATAAAGCTGCTGTCTCTTTAAGGCCCCGGCCCTAAAGCACGCTGTCCTCTGATTGGTTGACTTCTCTTAGCCTGCAGGGCCACGCCCACATCCGTCAGCTGCTCTCAGTTCAGAAATAATTTACTTTTACGCAAATTTATGAAACAAAAAAGAAATCATGTCTAGCACAATAGTTTAGTTATCAGAATGATTAATTTGAGTAGATCAGTTTATCTGTTTTTGTAAACCACAAAATTTTATTTGTAAAGAAAGCTTAAAAGAATACACAAACATTTGTGACCAAGACATTTTAAAAGGCTCAGCTGATGCGTGGGTTATTTATATTTTTAACTATTTCTTTGCACTCCCTGCAAGCTGCCACCAACTCTGATGTTTACAGGATGTTCCAGCTTTATTCTCCTGATCATGTATTTATTTTCTTTTACTCCTTTTCTCACTATGGCTACTTTTTGTTCACTCATAACGATTTTATTTAAATTTAATATAAACTAAATAATTTTAAAGAAAGCAGGTATTTTAATGAGCACATAAAACTAAATAAATTGAGTATTTTTATGCTTTCTCATACGAATGTTTATCTACTTGTGTGCCTTCAGTTTGTCTCATGAAAATAAAAATGTTTCTAAGGTAAAACTGTTTATTAAATAAAATGTTTAAACTTTATTCTGCATCAAGTTTGTGCAAAAATGGGTTTGTTAAAATGTTGGAGGAAATGATGGTTTTACTGCTTATTATAATTATTTGATTTCTATGTTTTAGTATAAATTGATTTTAAATATAATTTTTGAGTGTTTTATGTGGATAAAATGTGTTTATTGCTGCATTATATAAAACAAACTTTTCTAATCCAAATTTTTGGCTTCTTTTTTTTGTACAATTTTATTTAAGTGTGAAGAATAAAAGCTTGGAGAGATTTTTTTTATTCCCAATTCAATCAGTTTGATGAACCTGATCAAAAAGTGTAAACGGCTTAAAAGCGTTCAGGTTTTTACCTTTTTAAAGGAGGACCAATATTTTTTTTTCAAAGTTTTTTGTTTTGGGGGTTTGGCCAAATTCCTAAAAAGTGAGATTTTTGTAAACAAGTCTTAAAAATAACAGCCTGGAAAAAAAATAATGAAAATGCTAACTTTGACTTCAAGGTGAGCTAATATTAAAATATTTTGTTTTGAGATTTTAAAAATCTGTGTTTCATGAGTATATAAGCAAATAAAAATAGTTAAAAAGGAAAATTTGTTTCTTTGAACAGCATTTAGATCACTTTTTGCGATTTTGGTTTACTCCCACAATTTCTTTGGACATATCTTATTTTATTTAATCCTTTATTGTCAAATTAATAATTTTCTCCATAAATATGATCATTAAACTGGACTTTCTGGTTTCAGAGTAGATTTTCTCCACAGTAACTAAGTCCAAATGTTTCCAACAAGAACGTTTGACTTTTTCTGTCAGCTTCAAGAATACCTTCCACTTATTTTAGGCTTTAGAGCACCACAAACCCAACCTGCAGGTGAGGTTTCCTTCCCTGTCCCGTCAGTCACTACTGTATATAACAGTGATCACATGAGGGCTTCACTATAACTCAAGGTGTTGAACGCCTGAAGCCACCAGCACTACCTGTCAGGAATTCCTGCTGTGTGATCGTCTCCTTGGGATGAATTTACAGCTTAATCTGTGCTCAAGGATAATCTGACTGCAAACACGCAGTCAGCCAGAGAGAGAAGAAACAAAACACTATCTAATCAGTGTGTCTGGTAGCTCACCAGGATTTGTGCTTCTTGTGAACGTCATTCAAATATGTATGAGTGACCTGTGAAAAGACAGAATTAACTCTAAAACTGAACAAGTAAAGCAGCTGGGATGAGAATCAGCTCCTCTAAATCTGAGACCATGGTCAGGGTAGAATAACTTCTCCAGGTGAGGGATGAGGTCCTGCCCCAAGTGAGGAGTTTAAGTATCTCTGTGTCTTGTTCATGAGTGAGGGAAAGCTGGATCGTGAGATCGACAGGCTGATTGGTGCTGCGTCTGCAGTGATGTGGGCGTTGTACAGGTCTGTTGTGGTGAAGAGAGAGCTGGCCCAGAAGGCAAAGCTCTCCATTTACTGTTTGCTCTACGTTCCTACCCTCACTTGTGGTCATGAGCTTTGGGTAGTGACTGAAAGAACAAGATTGTGGGTACGAGCGGCCAAAATGACTTTTCTCCGCAGGGTGTCTGGGCTCTTCCTTAGAGATAGGGTGAGGTCTAGGTCCCTGGGCTCTGCTGGGTCCCTGGCGAGGGTGGTCGCCCCTGGGTCCTGGGTCGCTGGGTCCCGGGCTCGGCCGGCTGGGGGTTGGAGCTGCTGCGGGCGGGCCTGTGGGCTTGCCGCCAATATCTCCTGGGACTCTGCCGGCTGCTGGTTGTGGCCCCCCGGGGCAATCCTCTGCGCCTCTCGAGGGGGGCAGGGGCTTTTCTGGTTGCAGTCTCCCTGGGGTCCCTGCGCTCTGGGGCAGCTCCTGGATCTCTGGGACTTGGAGCTCCCTCCATCTCCTACGCATCTTTGGGGGGCAGATCTGTGGCCCCTCACACTCTATTGGATGCTCCTATAGAGAAACCTTACATAAACAAGCGCGTGTACACACACAGGTGCTCTCAGAAGTATGAACTTGGGCACATTCAACACATGTCTTAAGGCTGTGGTTGGCACTAAATGCACTGTGATTTATTATTGTGTGATTGTTCAGTAAAACAAGTGTGAGAAGCTCGGTCATCCGGGAGGGGCTCGGAGTAGACCCGCTGCTCCCCCACATCGAGAGGAGCCAGTTGAGGTGGCTCAAGCATCTGGTCATGATGCCTCCCTGGTGAGGTCTTCCGGGCACGTCCAACCGGGATGAGGCCTAAAGGGAGACCCAGGACACGATAGAGGGACTATGTCTCTCAGCTAGCCAGGGAACACCTTGGAATTCACTTGGAAGAGCTGGCCCAAGTGGATGGGGAGAGGAAAGTCTAGGCCTCTCGACTTAGGCTGCTGCCCCCACGACCCGACTCCGGATAAGCGGCTAAAAATGGATGGACTAAACAAGTTCAGTTCAGGTCAAATTTAAAAAAGGGAAGCATTACAGGAGTGTTAAGTAATGATCAAAACCGATATATTTTAATTAAATACATCTTGACTATGAAAAAGCCTCAAAATATTTAAATCAAAGATAAATTTAGCTACTCTGTTACATTTCTAGTATCTGATGTGGTTCATACTTTTATTGTGTAGCGACATGAATGGCCTCATTCGTGACCCAAAGGTCACACTTCCTCAGCTGAGTCAAGCTGTCCTGGCTGTACTTCTATCTACAGATTATCCGTTGCAGGAGACACAAAGTCTGCTGTAAACCATCTTTTATCTGACTGATGTTCCATCCGCAAGATGAAGGACACTTCAAGATTCAAAAGAATCATTTTTAATAAACTCTTTTCACTGTCTATTACAATGTTCATAAATAATCATCAAGGTTCATTATAAAGGTATGTAATTACTGAAATGAATTATTATCCTTTGGTTAATAATAATAATTATTTATGATAATCAGTAATGTTTAACAGTTACAAGAAGATCATGTGCACTTATACACACCATGCAGGACACAGACATCAGGGTTAAAGGTAACTGCATTCACGTGTCTTTGTTCCATAACACCAAAGCTTTCTATCTCTGAGAGGGCGTGTCCTGAGGTATGTAAAACCAAAACTCCTCAGTTCAAGTTCAGTTCTTGAGCTCACCAAAATTCTCTCCGTGGCACGAGAGAGTCCAGAGGATCGGGTCGGCCGCTCGAAACCTCTACCAAAGTTTTTCTGTCACGCTGATGGAATTGCTTCACAGAAACGCCATCTGCAACAAGCTGACGCAAAACTCCTTCAGAATTATTGATTTTTGAGACGCAACCAATTTCATCAGTCATTGTGACCCGGAGACATCTCAGGACCGATTTGGTCGCACTAAGGTTCTACTACCCACCTCGTGCTTGGGGGTCATCCAGTCCTCCTGACATCTCGGATCCAAAAGGGGTTTCTCCTAACTGGGTGAGATAGACACTTCCAACAAATTGCGTCTGAATGCCTTTTATTAAGAAATAATTTAGCTTAGCTGCAAACCAAACTCTTTCACCCAGAGCGCATTTTCTCTCTCTGAGATAGAAACCTGAGACTTCCATTCACACATCCAAACACACACACTTCATTTTTAGTTTATCCAGACACAGATTACTTTAACACCAAGTTTTAATATCAAAGCTTTTATAAATTGTCATTTATGAATTGTCTTTTAAATTGTCATCTTTAAATTGTTAGTAATAAATTCTTAACTTTTTAAACCTGACTCTTCTTTGAAATAAAACACAGAATGGTGTATATTTGGTCACTGAATGAGCAAAAATCTCTTTAAATCTTCTGAATTAATAAACTTTTGCTATTAATTTAAATCTCTTAAATTAAATATTAATCTTTGGATTAAATATAGACCAAGCCAGTTGGTGTATGAACTTCTATCGATTATATAAATATCCGTGGATATATATATATATATATATATATATATATGTGTGTGTGTGTGTGTGTGTGTGTGTGTGTGTGTGTGTAATATAAGTTTCATTGCCAATTTGTTTGATTTTTCTCTTTAGCAGAGCTGCATAGCAACAGCATTAAATTCTAGTTATGTAGATTAACAACTCTACAATTGTTTGAAATTTGTAATTTTATCAGTTAATTGAGAATCAAGCTGGCTCCTAAACACACATGCACTAATCTATACCTTTCCCCATAACGTAAAAGCTAATTCACACCAAACTTCTAAAACCAAGTATTAGACGTTTTTGCATCCTCATGAAAACAGTAAGGCGGGGACCAAATGTCCCCACTTTACTGGTTAGAAGAAAGGGTCCCACAATGTATTATATACAACACACACACACACACACACACACACACACACACACACACACACACACACACACACACACACACACACGGGTGGAAACCGGCTGAAAAAACATCCCTTTCCTCCAGAAAAGGTCACGGTGAGCTTTGAGTGACAGCTTTAAGTTGTCCGCTTGTGTTAGAACCAGCAGCAGAGGCGTCTTCCAGGGAAAGGCCGTGAGCACCGGGGAGCAATTAGCTGTCGTGAATAACGGACCAAATCTGGTCGGCAGACGGCTGCTAACCTACCACCTTCCTCTCTCGAGGATTGGAACATCCATTGGAGGCTTCGGCTGCATTTTCTCACCGCTGCTCCCAGAATTCACAAGGAAATTCCTGATCTAAACACAGGAATTTTGGACAACCTTCCACTAAATGCTTTGTCTTAATTATTATCCATAATTAAAATGACATCAGTAACTAGTGTTTACCCCTCCAACCCAAACTCAACTGTTGGGGTCAGTAATTAAAAACATAAGGGAATTATTCCCCCAACAAACAAGATGTTGGAGAATAATGATGAGTTATAATTAGATGTTGGAGCAGCCAATAATTATAGTAAATAAGATCATTAACTGATGCTTTGAGACCACGATCACATTGACCTGCTCTGTAGAAGGAAAGTTCAAATATGATTAATTAATTTATTAGTGTTTGCTAAATAATTAAATCTGTTTGGGTTATTTTTGGTGAGGGAGCATTAAAAGGAGAGGGCTTTCAGAAGAAGAGAAGGAATCGGATATTTCTGGGAGGAAGTGATGGCTCAGACCTTTCTAGAACCTCCTCCATGGAACAAAACATCCATCTGTGAGGTGTCCTGACATTTACCTGGGTCATTCGCAGGCTTTGTGCCTTTCAGCGTGCACACAGGAAGCCCTTTCTGCTGCATGTCAATGGACACCTGCCAATCAACC